TCTTCAGACGTACATCACAGTTTATTGTTAGCTATCATACAGGTTATAATAATAGTGTCGTAGCGTATGGCACCTACTGGCATATGTATACAATATTGTGTTCACGTGAATTCCACCATGTGCGAATTCACATCAAATATTGAAGACACCAAATTACTGAAACTAATGACAGGCCTGGCCGGCCCAAAACCTAACCCTAAAACCCTAGGGCTCAGTTCACAGTCCATCACAACCCCCCGCTACGGTTGCATGCCACACGTTCGTCGTGGCTGCCACCTTATACACTGTGTCTGAGTACCAACTAATGGCCTCTGCTCCTCGTACGTCTAAACGAAAACTGTCTACCTGTGTACACCTCGTGTGTACATGCAAGAGAGACTTACTCTCCACCGCTCCGTGGGAGGTGGAATTCGGCCGCTCTACCTCCACCCTGGAGGATTTTCACGAAACTAACGCCGCGCCGGTAAGTCGACTCCATCCTCGGACAACTGTAGCTCACCACACACTCGGAGACGTCCCGCACGGTACTTCACCGACTGCGCAAAAGCAAAACACTTCTCAACCTTGAGTGTGAAGTGTGTCCGCTTATCTTTATCCGGGAACATGCGTTTCAGAAGGGCATCATACTGTGCCGGAAGCACATGTTTTGTTCCGGACCCTGGTACAAGCGGTGTGTAACATGGCAATTCTGCCTCATCACGCCACATTTGCCACCGACCCCATACCGAACTCATAGCGGTGGACCATGTGCGTGCCTTCTTCGTGCGTCTCAGGCAGTGGCCAATCGCCTGTTTGTAATGTAACCATCCTTGGAGTCACAAAACGGAGAGTGATGCAGCAACCAATCCTCAAAGGGACCAGACGGTCTGTATCGAACGGTCGGCCGCGCACTCGCTTCTCTGGAGAGCTGTCCCACATGGGGCTTCAACTCAGCCAGCAAGAACTTGCGACGCGAGCCGTCTGCCATCTCTACCACGTGCCTAAGTGGTGCTTGCACTGACACCACCTTGGCCGGACCACCCAAACGCGCAGACAAATTGTGCGACTTGCCACGAAGCCGATACCATACCTGAGAACCGACCGGCAACAATGGCACATCCTCTCTTCATATATTGGCGCGACTCTGCTGTTCCAGCTGAGCTCGCTGATCTCGAACTGCCGCGGCAGCGTCACGAACCATGGCTTATGTACCCTTCTCGGACTCGAGCAAGAACAACACTCTGTCCTGTAGCTCCAAACGCTTCTGTCCGTTGAAGTCCCTGCCAGTCATGTGGAAATATGGCGAGAACCCCGTGACTGAGTTGCACGTGACGCGCACCATCTCATAAACCAAGAAAAACTACGCGTGACTTGCCACGAAGCTGATACCATACCTGAGAACCGACCGGCAACAATGGCACATCATCTCTTCTTATATTGGCGCGACTCTGCTGTTTCAGCTGAGCTCGCTGATCTCGAACTGCCGCGGCAGCGTCACGAACCATGGCTTATGTACCCTTCTCAGACTCTAGCAAGAACAACACTCTGTCCTGTAGCTCCAAACGCTTCTGTCCGTTGAAGTCCCTGTCATTCATGTGGAAATATGGCGAGAACCTCGTGATTGAGTTGCACGTGGCGTTGCAAATGCGCACCATCCCATAAACCAAGTAAAGCCACGCATGAGGATAATCATCTGTTGCTTCAATCTTTCTGCGAAGTCAATCCTTCATCGTCCTGATGAGTGTCTCTGGCCGCCCATTACCTTGATGTCGATCCACTGTGATCCAGTGCGGCTCAATGATACGACGTTCACAGAACGTCGCCACGTCTCCGTTCTAGAACTTTTTTTCCGCATCCATCACGAGACGCGCATGAGATCCCCACGCCAAGACCTGCTCCTCTATTAAACATACTACAGAGGGTCCATCTACATTTGGGCTGAAGACTCTCGCAAACATCATGCGCGTCTGCGTGTCAACAGCCAGCAACACCTTGGATTGACCGTTCACAAGGTCAAAATGAAGTCCATGCTTACCTCGCGCATGGCTTCCTCAGGGCGTGTCGGTTGCTGAAGGAGACCCTCCTTCTTCCCCAAGACGACAGATATCGCTTGGCAGGCGTCACAACTTTGACGCACATGAGTGCACATCTCTATCATGCCACTCCAACCCCAGAGCGTGCGTGTCAGCTGATCTGACCGCTTGGCACTCGCATGCGCGAAGAGCTCATGGGTATA